CACCCAGAAAAGTCTTTTCAGCGAATAATAATTCCAGCTGAAATAATTTAAAAATAATTTTACAGTAGATTAGATCTGTGAGTAATGCTGCTGTTATTACGGCATGTGATTTCTCCATTGCATGCATTTTATTACAGTACTTTAGTGCTGTCAATTAGTTCGCCTGATCAACACAGCGTTATACATAGGGCTGTTATTGAATCACGGAGAGTAAAATCTTGTGATACTAATCCCTAGAACCACTCAGATTGGGACATATGTCTTATGAACCCACATGTGTATGTCTTTGACAATACTCATTTTAACCTATTTTTTTTTTTACACTGGTGCTGTGAACTGCTTCAATTTCGCAAGGCGATTTTTTCTGGGTTCCTACAACATGGAGTGTCAGGGACTTTATTGAAATGTTGTACACAAACTTCATAGAATCCTGAATATATCTAGAAGTGAAAATTAAATGATTTACAGTATTTTATACCCATTAATAATGACTGAAATGCAATAATATCACTGCACTAAAAAGACTTCAAAATATTATTGTTACTTCACCATTGAAGGTTATGAGCAGACCAACCTTTACTGGCTTCCTTAATTATTACATGTACTTGCTCTGAAAACATAGCTTTTACAATTGTTTAAATTAACAGATGTTGTTCTATGTACTATGTGTCGTTGAGACTATTGATAATACATTGAGAATATTTGCAATCGTAATATATTATTTCTATCGTTATCATTAATTGTATCTTTACATAGTACATCGATTATTTTGTTTTACTGTTCCATTTATTCATAATGTGAGAGTAATCGCTGTTTGACCAATCAGGACTCTTCGCGGGCTTTTACTCTCAATAGGGGACCCCCCTATTCAAAAAAGTAGAATTCGCTAGTTGTCTTATTGTTTACCAGTGAGCCGTCTGCTGTAAGTTTTGTTGTGGAACTTTACATTGTAAACCTACATAGTTTTGTACGTGCTACTGGACATTGTGTTACATTGTGTTAGTGTTTGGTTCCTTCAAGAATTCTGCGATAATTAGGTATTCGAGTTTAGTGTTATCGCTGTGACCATGCTTCTGTCAACCCACAATCTGTCCATTGCGGCAGTACTCCCGGTTTCTTGAGCAAGTATACATGTATGACAAATAGATTCTGAACATGGGTCAGTGGAAGTTTTTAGTTGTCAGTACAAAACTTGATTATGGGAAATCACTTTATGATTAGTTGTAGCCACACAGAGTACATATTTATTCATCTGTTTGCAGATGTTCCTTGTACTACTTTATAATCAAATAACAGAGACTGTGACATTTCATGTCTTGTTTATAATAAGGGCTGAACTGCTAGGTATTTGAAAGTCCATTCATTACTCAAAAACTCTTTTTTAGTGAAATAGTTTTTTCCTTGGTAATTGAGAATATTGAAATCCACCAGGTTGAGCATCAATTTTCAATGGCTATACAAATAGAAGAGTCCCTCCATCTATTTCTGATGGTTACACCCTGTTTATAGTGACTGGTCAAATAGAAGACTCCCTCTATCCATTTCTAATGGTTACACCCTGTTTATAGAGACTGGTCAAATAGAAGAGTCCCTCTATTCATTTCTAATGGTTACACCCTGTTTATAGTGACTAGTCAAAAAAAGACTCCCTCTATCCATTTCTAATGGTTACATCCTGTTTATAGTGACTGGTCAAATAGAAGTGTCCCTCTATTCATTTCTAATGGTTACACCCTATTTATAGTGACTAGTCGAATAGAAGAGTCCCTCTATTCATTTCTAATGGTTACACCCTGTTTATAGTGACTGGTCAAATAGAAGAGTCCCTCTATTCATTTCTAATTGTTACATTCTGTTTATAGTGACTAATCAAATAGAAGTGTCCCTCCATCTATTTCTGATGGTTACATCCTCTTTATAGTGACTAGTAAAATAGAAGAGTCCCTCTATTCATTTCTAATGGTTACACCCTATTTATAGTGACGGACACCCTGTTTATAGTGACTGGTCAAATAGAAGAGTCCCACTATTCATTTCTAATGGTTACACCCTGTTTATAGTGACTGGTTGAATAGAAGAGTCCCTCTATTCATTTCTAATGGTTACACCCTGTTTATAGTGACTGGTCAAATAGAAGAGTCCCTCTATTCATTTCTAATGGTTACACCCTGTATATAGTGACTGGTCAAATAGAAGAGTCCCTCTATTCATTTCTAATGGTTACACCCTGTTTATAGTGACTGGTTGAATAGAAGAGTCCCTCTATTCATTTCTAATAGTTACGCCCTGTTTATAGTGACTAGTAAAACAGAAGAGTCCCTCTATTCATTTCTAATGGTTACACCCTGTTTATAGTGACTGGTCAAATAGAAGAGTCCCTCTATTCATTTCTAATGATTACACCCTCTTTATAGTGACTAGTAAAATAGAAGAGTCCCTCTATTCATTTCTAATGGTTACACCCTATTTATAGTGACTAGTCGAATAGAAGAGTCCCTCTATTCATTTCTAATGGTTACACCCTGTTTATAGTGACTGGTCAAATAGAAGAGTCCCTCTATTCATTTCTAATGGCTACACCCTGTTTATAGTGACTGGTCAAA